AGGGGTCTTGAAGACAACCAGGGGTCTTGAAGACAACCAGGGGTCTTGAAGACAGCCAGGGGTCTTGAAGACACACAGGGGTCTTGAAGACAGCCAGGGGTCTTGAAGACAGCCAGGGGTCTTGAAGACAACCAGGGGTCTTGAAGACAGCCAGGGGTCTTGAAGACAGCCAGGGGTCTTGAAGACAACCAGGGGTCTTGAAGACAACCAGGGTCTTGAAGACAGCCAGGGGTCTTGAAGACAACCAGGGGTCTTGAAGACAACCAGGGTCTTGAAGACAACCAGGGGTCTTGAAGACAGCCAGGGGTCTTGAAGACAACCAGGGGTCTGAAGACAGCCAGGGGTCTTGAAGACAACCAGGGGTCTTGAAGACAGCCGGGGTCTTGAAGACAGCCAGGGGTCTTGAAGACAACAGGGGTCTTGAAGACAACCAGGGGTCTTGAAGACAGCCAGGGGTCTTGAAGACAACCAGGGGTCTTGAAGACAACCAGGGGTCTTGAAGACAGCCAGGGGTCTTGAAGACAGCCAGGGGTCTTGAAGACAACCAGGGGTCTTGAAGACAGCCAGGGGTCTTGAAGACAACCAGGGGTCTTGAAGACAACCAGGGGTCTTGAAGACAGCCAGGGGTCTTGAAGACCAGCCAGGGGTCTTGAAGACAGCCAGGGGTCTTGAAGACAACCAGGGGTCTTGAAGACAGCCAGGGGTCTTGAAGACAGCCAGGGGTCTTGAAGACAGCCAGGGGTCGTGAAGACAGTCAGGGGTCTTGAAAGACAGCCAGGGGTCTTGAAGACAGCCAGGGTCTTGAAGACAGTCAGGGGTCTTGAAGACAGCCAGGGGTCTTGAAGACAGCCAGGGGTCTTGAAGACAGCCAAGGGTCTTGAAGACAGTCAGGGGTCTTGAAGACAACCAGGGGTCTTGAAGACAGCCAGGGGTCGTGAAGACAGTCAGGGGTCTTGAAGACAGTCAGGGGTCTTGAAGACAGCCAGGGGTCTTGAAGACAGCAAGGGGTCTTGAAGACAGCCAGGGGTCTTGAAGACAGCCAGGGGTCTTGAAGACAGCCAGGGGTCTTGAAGACAGTCAGGGATCTTGAAGACAGTCAGGGGTCTTGAAGACAGCCAGGGGTCGTGAAGACAGTCAGGGGTCTTGAAGACAGTCAGGGGTCTTGAAGACAACCAGGGGTCTTGAAGACAGCCAGGGGTCTTGAAGACAACCAGGGGTCTTGAAGACAGCCAGGGGTCGTGAAGACAGTCAGGGGTCTTGAAGACAGTCAGGGGTCTTGAAGACAGCCAGGGGTCGTGAAGACAGCCAGGAGTCTTCAAGTCAGCCAAAGGTCTTGAAGACAGCCAGGGGTCTTGAAGACAGCCAGGGGTCTTGAAGACAGCCAGGGGTCGTGAAGACAGCCAGGGGTCTTGAAGACAGTCAGGGGTCTTGAAGACAGCCAGGGGTCGTGAAGACAGCCAGGAGTCTTCAAGTCAGCCAAAGGTCTTGAAGACAGCCAGGGGTCTTGAAGACAGCCAGGGGTCGTGAAGATAGCCAGGGATCTTGAAGACAGCCAGAGGTATTGAAGACAGCCAGGGGTCGTGATGACATCCAGGGGTCTTGAAGACAGTCAGGGGGTCTTGAAGGCAGTCAGGGGTCTTGAAGACAGCCAAAGGTCTTGAAGACAGCCAGGGGTCTTGAAGACAGCCAGGGGTCTTGAAGACAGCCAGGGGTCGTGAAGACAGCCAGGGGTCGTGAAGACAGCCAGAGGTCTTGAAGACAGCCAGGGGTCTTCAAGTCAGCCAAAGGTCTTGAAGACAGCCAGAGGTCTTGAAGACAGCCAGGGGTCTTGAAGACAGCCAGGGGTCTTGAAGACAGCCAGGGGTCTTGAAGACAGCCAGGGGGTCGTGAAGACAGCCGGGAGTCTTCAAGTCAGCCAAAGGTCTTGAAGACAGCCAGGGGTCTTGAAGACAGCCAGGGGTCTTGAAGACAGCCAGGGGTCGTGAAGACAGCCAGGGGTCTTGAAGACAGTCAGGGGTCTTGAAGACAGCCAGGGGTCGTGAAGACAGCCAGGAGTCTTCAAGTCAGCCAAAGGTCTTGAAGACAGCCAGGGGTCTTGAAGACAGCCAGGGGTCTTGAAGACAGCCAGGGGTCTTGAAGACAGCCAGGGGTCTTGAAGACAGCCAGGGGTCTTGAAGACAGCCAAAGGTCTTGAAGACAGCCAGGGGTCGTGAAGATAGCCAGGGATCTTGAAGACAGCCAGAGGTCTTGAAGACAGCCAGGGGTCTTCAAGTCAGCCGAAGGTCTTGAAGACAGCCAGGGGTCTTGAAGACAGCCAAAGGTCTTGAAGACAGCCAGGGGTCTTGATGACAGCCAGGGGTCTTGAAGACAGCCAGGAGTCTTGAAGACAGCCAGGGGTCGTGAAGACATCCAGGGGTCTTGAAGACAGTCAGGGGGTCTTGAAGGCAGTCAGGGGTCTTGAAGACAGCCAAAGGTCTTGAAGACAGCCAGGGGTCTTGAAGACAGCCAGGGGTCTTGAAGACAGCCAGGGGTCTTGAAGACAGCCAGGGGTCGTGAAGACAGCCAGGGGTCGTGAAGACAGCCAGAGGTCTTGAAGACAGCCAGGGGTCTTCAAGTCAGCCAAAGGTCTTGAAGACAGCCAGAGGTCGTGAAGACAGCCAGAGGTCTTGAAGACAGCCAGGGGTCTTGAAGACAGCCTGGGGTCGTGAAGAGAGCCAGGGGTCTTGAAGACAGCCAGGGGTCTTGAAGACAGCCAGGGGTCTTCAAGTCAGCCAAAGGTCTTGAAGACAGCCAGGGGTCTTGAAGACAGCCAAAGGTCTTGAAGACAGCCAGAGGTCTTGAAGACAGCCAGGAGTCTTGAAGACAGCCAGGGGTCTTGAAGACAGCCAGGGGTCGTGAAGACAGCCAGAGGTCGTGAAGACAGCCAGAGGTCTTGAAGACAGCCAGGGGTCTTCAAGTCAGCCAAAGGTCTTGAAGACAGTAAGGGGTCGTGAAGACAGCCAGAGGTCTTGAAGACAGCCAGGGGTCTTGAAGACAGCCAGGGGTCTTGAAGTCAGCCAAAGGTCTTGAAGACAGCCAGGGGTCGTGAAGACAGCCAGAGGTCTTGAAGACAGCCAGGGGTCTTGAAGACGGCCAGGGGTCGTGAAGACAGCCAGGGGTCTTGAAGACAGCCAGGGGTCTTGAAGACAGCCAGGGGCCTTCAAGTCAGCCAAAGGTCTTGAAGACAGCCAGGAGTCTTGAAGACAGCCAAAGGTCTTGAAGACAGCCAGGGATCTTGAAGACAGCCAGGGGTCGTGAAGACAGCCAGGGGTCTTGAAGACAGCCAGGGGTCTTGAAGACAGCCAGGGGTCTTCAAGTCAGCCAAAGGTCTTGAAGACAGCCAGGGGTCTTGAAGACAGCCAGGGGTCTTGAAGACAGCCAGAGGTCTTGAAGACAGCCAGGGGTCTTCAAGTCAGCCAAAGGTCTTGAAGACTGCCAGGGGTCTTGAAGACAGCCAGAGGTCTTGAAGACAGCCAGGGGTCCTGAAGACATCCAGGGGTCTTGAAGACAGTCAGGGGGTCTTGAAGGCAGTCAGAGGTCTTGAAGACAGCCAAAGGTCTTGAAGACAGCCAGGGGTCTTGAAGACAGCCAAAGGTCTTGAAGACAGCCAGGGGTCGTGAAGACAGCCAGTGGTCGTGAAGACAGCCAGGGGTCTTGAAGACAGCCAGGGGTCTTGAAGACAGCCAGAGGTCTTGAAGACAGCCAGGGGTCTTCAAGTCAGCCAAAGGTCTTGAAGACTGCCAGGGGTCTTGAAGACAGCCAGAGGTCTTGAAGACAGCCAGGGGTCGTGAAGACATCCAGGGGTCTTGAAGACAGTCAGGGGGTCTTGAAGGCAGTCAGAGGTCTTGAAGACAGCCAAAGGTCTTGAAGACAGCCAGGGGTCTTGAAGACAGCCAGAGGTCTTGAAGACAGCCAGGGGTCGTGAAGACAGCCAGGGGTCGTGAAGACAGCCAGGGGTCTATTGGTAATCCCCTTTATGTATGCCGGTAGGCAGTTGGACAGAACAGTCTTGGGTCCCTGACACTTATTGTGTTGTCTCTTATCGTAGTTGTATTGGTGGGATGTTGCATCTAACAATGTACAAAATTTGGCTTATTTTTTTATTTATAACAAGATGAGATAGAGGGAGAGAGGAGAGTTAATATAAGATTTGTTGGGATTTTTAACCCCGGAGGGTTAACCACCCCAGAATAACCCCAGAAAGTGTGTCATTCAGAACTGTCTCTCTGATTTCAATTGTGTTTCTCAGTCTTGTCCCCCCCCCCAGGATGCCACCCACACCAGTCAGCTAAGATCCAGGTGAACAATGACAGCAGGTGGAAGGTGGCTAACACCCAGGTACCTATTTGCTCGCTAGGTGAACAGAGTCAACAGATGTAAGGAAACATGAATATAAATAATAAATGCCCAAGTTTCCACCCGTGCCGGGGATCGAACCACAGACACTCAGTGTGTAAAGCAAGAGCGTTGCATACCAGGCCACGGGACACCTTACAGGCTTATTTAACTCTTTTATTAATGATATACTAAATTAAATACTTTTAATTACGTTATATCATGTATTTATAGAAATAGAGCTTATTATAGAGGACAGAAGAAATCTCATATATCAGTTTTACTCCATATTTTAACTCTTTTTAGAAGTGATGTACCTAATTAAACACTTGTATTATAATGTAATACGTCTTCTGCCAACGTAAATTTGTAATATTTACATATTTATGGGCAAAATGACGTAATAATAAAAGACACATGACTGGGGGGGTACAAATGTATTTTTAAAATTACCCGCAACTTAAATTTCTTAACAAAACCTATAAAACAGTCACCATTATTTAACATCTCAACATTTTCCCACTTGCCATGAATTATGTACTAAATATATGCAGTCGCGGGGGACTTTTTATAAGCAGAGATGGAGGCGAGAATAAAATAATTTTCAGTAATTGTTAAGAAATAAGCGCGTGGTTATCCATGTTAAAGGAAGTGTGAGGATTGATCTGCTGACTTCCAGCTATCATATTCATGTTTGTGACTTCCACGGTGACGGTGATGGTTATATAGTGACTATGTTACGCTCTAAGAAGGACGTGGACCGTCACGTGCGGGATTTGCTCAATAAAATCAAGTCTGAGGATGAGGTAAGGGTTATGGCGGCATGTTGTGTGTCTCGTATATTTACTATTACCGCTTTTATATTAATATCCCTTTATTATATCACTCTGTTATCATTATCTCTGTTAATTATATATCACCAGGTGGAGGGGAGAGATGTTAAATATGTTAGATAAACTTGGATGTTGAAATATATGTAGTTTCTGGCGTCTTTGTGTATATTATTTTTTTTTTCTAAACGTTGAATATAATGGTAAATAATAATGTATTTTGTACATGTTTTGTCACCATTGAATTATATATACTGTTTTATGGGTATAATTATAAACCTATTGTCACCAGTGTTTTTTTAACGTATTTAAGGGTCAGAGTTGTCCTTTATTGTTTAATTATTTATATTTTATCAATAATACGTCTATAACAGCTTTAATATTGATATTTTATGACTAATAATACGTCTATAACAGCTTTAATATTGATATTTTATAACTAATAATACGTCTATAAGTCTTAATATTTATATTTTATAACTAATAATACATCTATAACAGTCTTAATATTTATATTTTGTAACTAATAATACGTCTATAACAGTCTTAATATTTATATTTTATAACTAATAATACGTCTATAACAGTCTTAATATTTATATTTTATAACTAATAATACGTCTATAACAGTCTTAATATTTATATTTTATAACTAATAATACGTCTATAACAGTCTTAATATTTATATTTTATAACTAATAATACGTCTATAACAGTCTTAATATTTATATTTTATAACTAATAATACGTCTATAACAGCTTTAATATTTATATTTTATAACTAATAATACGTCTATAACAGTTAATATTTATATTTTATAACTAATAATACGTCTATAACAGCTTTAATATTTATATTTTATAACTAATAATACATAAGAACATAAGAACATAAGAACGAAGGAACACTGCAGAAGGCCTACTGGCCCATGCGAGGCAGGTCCAAGTCCCTACCGGCTTAAGCCAATGCACCCAACCTAGTCAGGTCAGGTCACATTGACTTAAGGGAGGAACACGGCAACCGACCTGTTAGCACAAGCTATCAGGTCCAACTCACACCCACCCACATCTACTCATGTATTTTACCAACCTATTTTTAAGCTACACAACGTTTCTGGCCTCTATAACTGTACTTGGGATTTTGTTCCACTCATCCACAACTCTATTACCAAACCAGTACTTTCCTATATCCCTCCTGAATCTGAATTTTTTCCAACTTAAAAACCATTGCTGCGAGTCCGTCTAGGCTAGAAATTTTCAGCACACTATTACATCCCCTTTATTTATTCCTGTCTTCCACTTATAAACCTCAATAAATATCCCCCTAATTCTACGTCTTTCTAGAGAGTGCAGTTTCGGGGCCCTTAGTCTATCCTCATAGGGAAGGTTTCGATACATGGGTTCATCTTTGTCATCCTCCTTTGTACATTTTCCAGAGAATTTATATCCATTCTGAATACGGTGCCCAAAAAACTGTGCAGCATAATCTAAATGAGGCCTAACCAAGGATGTATAGAGTTGAAGAACAACCTGAGGACTCCTATTATTTATGCTTCTTGATATGAACCCAAAGGGATTCTATTAGCTTTTGCGAACACTTATGCACTGTTGTCTTGGTTTCAGATTACTGCTAACCAGAACTCCAAAAATCTTTTTTCGCAATCCGTAATATTAAGATCTACTTATTTATTTTATATGTGGCATGGTTATTGTCCTGTCCAACATTTAGAACTTTGCATTTGTCTATATTAACTGCATCTGCCACTTCTCCGACCACTGCATCAGTCTATTCAAATCATCCTGGAGTGCTCGAATGTCCTCGTCAGAATGAATTCGACGGGCCTATTTTGGTGTCATCGGCAAACTTGCCGATGTCGCTCTTTATGCCCTCATCTATGTCGTTTATGTAGATTGTGAACAGCAGGGGGCCCAACACTGACCCCTGTGGAACACCGCTCGTGACGCTTCCCCACTCTGATTTCTCCCCATTTATGCAAACTCTCTGCTGCCTATTTGTCAACCATGCCTCTATCCAGGAAAAAATTTCTCCTCCTATTCCATGTGCTTTAATTTTCCTAAATAGTCTCTGATGTGGGACCCTGTCAAAAGCCTTACTGAAGTCATAAAACACAATTATCATATTCATTACCATGATCTACCTCCTCAAATACCTTAGTGAAAAAAGTTAATAAATTCGTAAGGCAGGAACGCCCCTTTGTAAAAACCATGCTGAGATTCGTTGATTAATTTATGCTTTTCAAGGTGGCTACGAACTGCCTCGGCAATTTTTTGATTCCAAAATTTTCCCACTATGGAGGTTAGGCTTATTGGTCTATAGTTCGAAGCTAAGGACCTGTCACCTGTTTTGAAAATAGGTATCACATTTGCCATTTTCCACTTTTTCTGGCACCATGCCAGTTGTAGTGATATGTTGAAAAGATTAGCCAAAGGTGTGCTAAGCTCCTCTTTACATTCCTTTAGAACCCTTGCATCCCAGTTCATCAGGGCCTGGGGATTTGTTAAGGGTTTAATTTTATCTATTTGCTAAGGACCATGTCACTTGGGGACCCTAATAGTGCACAGTTTAATTAATCGCCCTTGTTTACATAATTTATCATTACTGGAATATCGCTGGTATTCCTCCTGTGTAAAAACTGAGAGGAAGTATGTGTTAAAATTCTACACATTTCCTTATCACTGTCAGTGAGCTGACCCGAGGAACTTTTGAGTGGGCCTATCTTGGTCCCTGATCTTACTTTCTGTATACCTGAAAGAATCCTTTTTGGGTTTAGTTCTTCGATGTTCTCTTGCCAACTTTAACCTCATAATCTCTATTTGCTTTTCTAATTCCCTTTTTTATTTCTCTCTTTTAACTGAATATATCGATTTCTTAATTGCCCCTTCCTCTTTTGATTTGCCTATATATGGCCCCCTCTTTTGACCAATCAGATATTTTAATTCTAATTGTTCTTTTCCCATTTGGACCCATTTTTTGTTTGATCTGATTTCCCTATTGGGAAACATAATTTGACTGAGGCAGCTAAAATTTTATGCCCTGGAAAGCATCATATCGGCAAAACCATACCACCTACCTGACCCCTAGTCAGGTCATTCCAGTTCAGCCCATTTTTTTAAGTAATTTTTCAGTCTATTGAATCAGCAAGCGAAAGTCAGGGACGGGGATTTTGATTATTATTAGGGGATTCTTGATATGTTAAATGAGTGATTTGTGATCACTTCCCAAGCTCATTCATTAACCTCAAGATTATTAATTATGTTTTCCTACTGGCAAGAACCAAGTAAGGAGGTTATTTCCCTAGTTCTCTTTTCACAAACTGTTTTAAAAACATTCCTGATGTATTCAAGGGTCCCTACTCTAATTTTCCTGTAAAATTTTTGCTCAGTCAATTGTCTTAGTTGAAATTCCCATTAGCACACATTTTCGTATGTAGATGCTTACGTTTTTTCGTCCATAGAAGTTTACTGCACTCCCTATCGATTGGGGCCTTTTTAATCACACCCAAAATTAGTTTTTCTCGGCCCTCGAGAACTGTAAAAACAGTTCAGGGGCTACGCTCTTAATTTTATCTTGTCTAACACAAAAATTTTTAAATTGTCTCTACAACATCGTATTTCCACCACCTTTCTTTAAACCCTGTCAGTGGGGAAATATTTATAGCCTTGTATGTGCATTCAGAGGGCTCTCTTCTGTCTTTCAGATTGAGCCAGGTCTCTGTTTAGCATAATTTCTATGTTTCCTTGCACTTGCAATTAATCTTAGCTCATTTTTATTTCTAACATTCCTGCTATTATTTATAGTAAACCTTAAGGGAGCTAGTCACTTGTGCCCTCTGCTGTCCCCTTTGTTTGCTGACTGTTCTATTGTCTTTATTTTTAAACTTCATGCTAAATTTGCCTTTTTTATACATTTATGTTTCCACCTAGTGTTGACTGTTTTTGTTTCCCACACACACCCCATACCTCTATCTTCCATCAGTTTAAAATCATAGGCATTTCACCAATGGCCTTCTCAATCGAGTCTGCAAGTGCTACCACCCCTGCCCCAGAGAGATGAACCCCATCCCTTGCATACATATCATGTTTCCCATAAATTTTGTTTCCAGTTGTCAATGAATGGGATTGCAATTTCCTTGCATTATCTGTCTAGCCATAGCAATTTACACCAATTGCCCTAGACAACCATTCATTTCCTACTCCCCTTCTAGGCAAAAATGCTACATATGATTGGGATCCCCCCCTTAGATTTAATGAAATCTATAGCTGACTGTACTTATCTAGCAGCTCTTCTCTCCTCCCCTTCCCAATATCATTTCCACCAGCACTGAGACAGATAATGGGCTTGTTCCCTTTACCTGACATGATATTATCCAGTCTGTGACAATGTCCCCAACACCCCAGCTCCAGGAAGCACACTCTATCTTCATCTTCTTATTCCTATTACAAAAAAGCACGATCAACATATTTTTACCTGAGAGTCACCAACCACAAGAATGCGCTTACCTTCATTACAGGGGCAGTATACCCTTACTTCACTGGCCACTGAAGTACATTCATCCTGGAGAAACAGAAGAAGCGATTTCCTACCTTCAGATCTGCACTCTTTAACTTTCCTTACTCTGATGCGCCTTCCCTTACTGTGAACAACTGGGCCACTTGTAGCAGGTTGCTGGGCTGCACCTCACTGCTGGTAGCCTTTGGCTACCACCCCACCAACAGCCTCCTCACAGTGAGAGACAGACTGCACCTCACTGCTAGAAGCCTCATTCCCCACATCTCCAACCACCTCACACTCTCTCCCAGGCCCATTGAGGTGGACCTTCAGCCTCCTAATCTCCCCTGGAGAAGCAAGACCTCCTCCTTCAACTCTCCAACCTCAGCTTTTAAAACACTGTAGAAGCAAGCCATGCTTTGTAACCGTCCACGCTAATCCCCAAGCAGCTCAGGGTCTGTGACCT